TGCATGTTTTAGTTTGCATTTTGCTGCCCACGTTCATTTATCGTGGTCGATTATAAAATGCAGAAATATTATCACCTATCTTATTCACCCTTTCTTAAATGTAAGAGATTTAATAATTTCATAAATAGCTTATATATGCAGGCTGAGAGTTGTATGTATCTTGAATTATAAATACATTGTAATAGTAATTTGGTAAAAAAAAAATTGGGTCATGCTTTTTGTCATTTCATGCATTCTTCCCTGATGCTAATTCTTTTTGGTTCTCTGAAGCTGTCTACAAGAGATCTACTTTGCCGGTTTTTAAAGCACATGGGATGGCCCAAGCATCTATATCTGATTGTGTGACAGAAACATTTTCTGCTATTCGAACAGTGAGTTCCCAATAGTTTGTGTTCTTATGACAAATATTTGTATTATGTATTGCAATGGCCTGGTTTTATAATCCACAGCTGAAACAGTGACATGCTTGCTTACAGGTAAGATCCTTTGGTGGTGAAAAGCGCCAAATGTTTTCATTTGCTAGCCAGGTAAGGTTATTTAAAGAAGAACCAATAGCTAATTTCATAAAGGGTGTGACATCCTCTAGATACTTTCATGTTAATTATTTGTTCCGTGCAGGTTCTATCTTTCCAATCAAGTGGGCTGAGAATAACCAAAAGAATTATTTACATTACATGTCAGCTCTTAAAACATCAAGCAATTTGTGTAACTTAGCTTGGTATGAAGCTATTTGTCTTGAAGGTAGTTTTTTGAATTTTGTTTGTATCCCTTGTGATGTTAAATTTTGCTGTTTCAGGAGCCACGGCTAGTGGGAAGATTTAGAGTGTTCATATTTCTCTTAGTTAAAACTGGTTTATTTTTTAAAACCGGTTCAAAAACTGGTTTGATTATGAAACTGGTTTTAAACCGATTATAAACTTATTTATTAAAGTAATTCAGTTTTAAACTGGTTTTTTTAAAGTGGTTTATATAATTTATAAACCAGTTTATTTTATTAAAATGGTGTGGTGCTCCTTTCCCCACCATCACAAGGGCACCACCTACCTGCAATGCTCGTCTTCATCAGACGTCCTCCCAAAGAAAAGGGGCAATCACATCATCATCATCAACAGGCAGCCTAGAGAGGCCATGCATAATAATACTCAGCATTTAATCCTTTGCCCACCATCACAAGGGCACCACCTACCAGCAATCCTCGTCTTCATCAAACGTCCTCCCAAAGAAAAGGGGCAAAATGCTTGTATTCTTGTTTCTTTTTAGGAGTTTCTTTTTAGTCCGAATTTATAGGAGTCCAATGGAAGATAAAAGAAATCCTAAAACATTTAAAAAGACATACAAAGAATACCTAAGGCACACACAAAGATTGATTCACAAGAATTTAGAAGATGAACCAAAAACAAGCAAGACAAAGTGAGTGTGTTCTATAGATTTATAGATGTGACACAAGAACCACTCAAGGCACACAAAC